ACAGAGTCTCACTAAGTTGCTTAGGGACTCCCAAGTTGCTGAGGCTGGCTTTGAACTTTTGATCTTACTGCCTCAGGCTCTGGGGTCACTGGGATTATAGGTGTGCACCACCATACCTGGCCTACAGGTTCCGTATTCTAAAATAACCAATGGGGAAAATTGGACACTGTTCTAATGAGGTAATATAAGGTAGCCAATGGGAACAAATGGTAAGGTCTTCAATCCAGTCCCATCTCTATAGGGAAGAGAATGCCTCACAACTCAACACACAAGACACTAATTCCCAGACACCAGGACCTTGAACCTCTTTCTTTTGCTCAACCTATCCCTCTCTACCTTATACAGTGTGTTACTTTGACCTTCTCCTTCAACAAATCTGTACTTTGCCTGGTGCTTCTGTGTGTCTTGCTCAATTCTTTGTTCGAGACACACCTGGACCCCAACTGGACATCCCCCACGATAACAATACTAAGGCCACCAGACAGGGGAGGGATCCAGGTGAAGATAAGGGTGACTTTCTCTGTTGACTCTCTTTTATGTCTGACTTGAATCTTTTACATGGAGAATATAATCATTTACTAGGGAGATAATTTTAAAAAGAAGAAAAGAGAGACAACAAGGAAATCACAAAAGGCACTGGAAATCAAGTTTTAATACCTCCCAGTCCCCTTTCCTAACTCCCTTTTTCTGCTAATATGCTTGCTCTGGAGAAGGGAGAAAGGCTTTTCATTTAATTAAAATGTAAAAATACTTTCCTTTTTTGCTGCCGGGTGGCCAGGGATATTCTGCTGACTCAGCAGTGAATAATCAGCTTTGACCTAAATAATAGAATAACTCAAAGTGGCGCTGCAGTTGCATAAGAGAGATCCAGATCTGCAGTTCCTTCTTTCTCTCCCTCTCCAACTACCCCCCCTCCCTCACCACCGGGCTCCCGGGCTCCGGCAGGCAAGCCAGTTACAGCAGGTTCTTTCCGCCTCTCCACCCCCACCATCTGGCTCATCACAACTTCATTTCTCATCCAATTGCTTCCAAAAACGGCCCCACCACAGAACTATTCTTGACCTCATCTCCTGCCTCGAAGCAAAGCCCAACCCTGAGGCTTTGCCACACCCGCTTTTCCCTGCTAGGCTCTGTGCCCTGTCCTCTAGGACCTAGCTATACACCAGTGACCTCTCCACGGAGGGTGGCCCAAACCTCTCATTGCTCAGTGGATGAAGCCCATCAACAGCATGCCAAAATGAGACAGCAGAAAGCAGAATTTCCTATGTAAATACGTTCTCATCAAACTCAAGCTCTTTACAGCTTCTGCCAGGAGTAGAGCTAGGTTGAGCTTCTCCAGGCTTGATTTCCAAAGAAGGCTCTACCAGGGCTCAGTGGTACTGCACTTGCCTAGCAAGTACAAGGCCCTGGGTTCAACACTAGCCCCGCAAACAAACAAACAAACAAAAAATATTGTACCTATTTTATGCAGTTAACTTATCTGGCACCTGCTAAGAAGATAGAGTGGGTTGGAAGATGGTGGGATTGGGTGAGTCAGAGGGCTGCTGGAATAAAAAATGTTAGTGAAAAATGGCATCCACCAAGCCTTTCTGACAGCCTGGCTTTTGTTTCACTGGATCGCTTAAGAGATGATTTGAGGGACTATATAGAAGAGAGTTTAGAAAACAAGTATTCAACAAACCAGAAAACAGAACCTCTGTACATGCACTTAAAACAACTGGGAACATCAGGCCTAAAGAAGAGAAGGAAGAATTGTGTGTGTGTGTGTGTGTGTGTGTGTGTGTGTGTTTGTGTGAGTGTTCACATATGTGGATGTGTACAACATCCAGTGGCCTTCACAGCCACAGGAAAGGGATACTGCAAAGCATGAGAAACAGAGCTGTTCTCCATTTCCCCTAAAGGTGACATGAGGAAGAGGCTTAAGTTTAAGATTTTCTTTGGACTGGTGAGGTTAATGCAGAGGTGGAGCACTTGCCTAGCATATACAAGGTCCTGAGATGATCAATTCCCAGTACAGGACAAAAAAAAAAATCTGATTACAAAGGAGAAAAATACTTGAACACCTATTTCAAGGGCACTGAAAAATTCCTGTCTTTGGAGGACAAGGTTGACACTGTCAAGTTGGAGGTAATTTCCTTGCAGTTATACTTAGGGGACAGGCCAGATAGGTTTTATTGAATCTTTGATCGAAGTAAAGATAAAGAGAAGGATCTCCTCATTTTTGTTATCAGCCAGTTTCTAAGTTTCTCCTGGCTTGGTGCTAGCAGTGCCTAGGTGAGGGGTGAGCTGCAGAGGGGACTGTGTGTCCTGACTTTCTGGAGTTGGATACAAGCAGGAGCACTATTTTTTTTTTTTTTTTTAGTACTGGGAATTTAACCCAGGATTGCTCTATCACTGAGTCACACACTTATTTAGTTAGTTAATTTTCAAATAGGGTCTTGCTAAATTGTCTAGGCTGAACTGGAACTTGTGATCCTTCTGCCTCAGGCTCCAGAGGTACTGGGATCATAAGTGCGTACCACCTCACCAACTTAAGCTGGAACTCTAATCTCCTGGGAGGATTGGGCCCATCCTGAGGGGACGCCCAAGGCTGCACTACCCCAGTAGTCTTTGTGAAACTGGTCAAACCCTTGAATAACTTCCTGGAGTGTCTTTTTTTTTGGGGGGGGGGTAAGGGGATTAAACCCAGGGATGCTTTACCTCTGACCTACATCTCCAGACCTTTTTATTTTTAAAAATTTTGTGACAGGGTTTTGCTAAGTTGTTTAGGGTCTTGCTAAATTGCTGAGGCTGGCCTCTATCTTGATATCCTCCTATCTCAGCTTCCCTAGTGGCTGGGATTATAGGCGTGTGCTGCCACACCAGGTCTCAAAGATCTTTCCTTTGGTGTTGGGGATTGAACACAGGACCTGTGTCTGCCAGTAAGCTAAATCAGCAACCCAAGGGTTCTTGATTTCTAGTAGGAGGGCAAGGGTGGCCTCTTGTCTGAGACACTTCAGCAGCATCAGCAAGAAAAAGGAAGCTGTCTGTGTGCATAAGACACAGAAACAGCAGTGACCAGCACTCATGTGCTTCCCCTTCCTCCCCCTGTTAGCTTGTCTGATGGCAAAACCAGCAACTTTTCCTGCATTCCCACGCCCTCCATCCTCCCCTTCCCCCAGCTGTGGATCCAGCTAAGAACCAAGGATGATAGTGGCCTTGCAGCTTGACATCCTCAGTGACTGACATGGCTGGGACACAAGGTGCCTACTGCTGTGCTGAGTGCATCCCATTTCTTCTCTCACACATTTCACACCCTCCTGAGACATAGGGTTACAATTTACAATCCACATCTGACAGTGGGGTGGGTTGAGTAACTATGCCAAAGAGTCAAGTCACCCAGTTAGATGGTGTGGAGTGGAGATGCAGGCTCAGGGGCTCAGCCTAGTTCAACAGGACTGACCAAGCACAAGGAATAAAGTCCCAAACAAGGGTCTCAACTCCACATTAGAACTTTGTGTGTGTGTGTGTGTGTGTGTGTGTGTGTGTGTAGCTAGGGATTGAATCTAGGGCCTTATGCATGCTAGGCAAGCTCTCTGCCACTTAGCCTCATCACCAGCCCCTCATTAGAAGTTTCTTAGGTGGTGGGGTCTCTCCCTGAATTGACCTCTAATGCCAAAGAGGGCAAATTTGTCAAGGCTCCAGATGCTTGCCTGTAAGAGGTATTGGGATAAGTAAATGGTCCTCCCTCCCTGACCCACCAGCATGATGGAAAAGAAGTGCCTGACTTGGGAAAGTTACAGCCAGAAGCATCCCTATCCTCAGCTAAGTATGTGAGTGCTAGAAGTTGTAAGAAGGCAGGGACCAAGCCAACTATGAAGTATGACCTCTGAAACACGTCCAAGTAGTTGCTTGAGAAGTTAGTGTTTGATTAAGGATGTAGAATACTCCAGCCATGGAGATCACAGAGATCAGCACTGACACTTCCTAGAAACATGGCCCTGTGGAACTTCTCTCTTAAGTTTTTCTATCTTTTCCAGCTCACAGAGATCTTTCCCCTTCCCTAAATTTTTACTGAAACTGACTAAATCATAGCTACTACATCTGTTTATATGACTTTCCCCATTTATAAAGCTCATCCAAGTGGGGTATGGTGGTACACACCCTGTAACCATAGCAACTGGGGAGGCAGAAGCAGGAGGATCACTCGTTCAAGGCCAGCCTCAGCGACTTAGCAAGACCCTGTCTCAAAAAATAAAAATGGCTGGGGATATAGCTCAGTGGTAAAGCACCCCTGGATTTAATCCCTAGTACCTAAATAAATAAATACTTAAGTAAAAATTAGCCAGATGTGGTGTCACATGCCTATAATCCCAGCAACTTAATGAGACTCTGTCTCAAAAAAATAAAAAAGAGCTAGAGATGTGGCTTATGGTTGAGCACCCCTGGGTTCAATCCCTAGTACCAAAATTAATCAATCAATCTTGAAAACTCATCCAGGGCAGAGACCAGGGACAAAGTCTCCCAAGAGAGTTTGCAAAGTATGAGTTGGCCAGTTGAGGTAGAAGTGGACCAGACCTTCCCCTACAAAGCCAAAGCAGTCTTCCTATGAGCAGCCAGGATAAACTGGCAAGGTGTGCTATGCTGGAGAGGGAATCAGAAGACCTGGACGCACTCAGGGCCTGTGTCCTGGGGTAAGCTACTTGCTTGGCTCTCTGTTTCCTTATCTCTTCTAGGAAAATGATAATACTGACCCAGCTTACCTCATGGTTTTATCATGAGGTTCAAATCAGATAATATAGGTGAAAGTGCTTCATGTTAAGAGCCCTGTCAGTAAAAATGACTGTGCCTCTAATAAGTTTCTCCTTCTTTTTAAAACACCAGATAATTATATGCAGAGTCCATGGTTCCAAAATACACTTGTAAGAAATGGAGAGAAAAATAATGGGGGGAAAAAAAAACAAAAACAAAAAACCAGGAGAACAGGAAGGAAAATCAGATGCATGCAAGCCAATACTTACATAAGCAGATGGCAGCCAGGAGACGAAGGCCAGACTCTGGGGGGAAGCAGGTGGGGAAGAGTGGCTGCAACACATAGTTGGAGAAGGTGAGGGCGATGACGGCTTGGTTGGTGGGGTAGATCACCAGCACAGCAATCCACAGCCTCAGGAACCTGAAGGAGGAAGAGGACAGCCCGCCAAAGGGCACGGCAGGAATTCAGTCATCAGAAGAGAGCCTGGGCAAGTTGGTGGGCAGCCATGAGCAGAGGCAGGTAGATTAAAGGGGTGTGTTTCCTTTTTTCAATTTTCAGGGATGCTAAAGAGCCCAGCTCCCACCCCCACCCCAAATGAGACACCCAGCGCTCTACAACGGCAGTAAAATTGTTTAACGATGGAAAGCTAAGTTTCAACTAGCACCAACACCAGTCTTGGCATCTTTCTCTCTCCCTTCTCCTTTCATCATCTCTTCTCTGCCACTGTGGCCCCCAGCATTCACTGGGGGAAAAATTAAATTTGCAACCCCAGGATTCTGACAGCCAAGACATGCTAAGGGTGTGGTTATATTAGCAACTGCTGGGGGAGGCATCTAGTGGCTTTCACACCCATTGACCCATTGGTGAGAGATGAGCTCCTTGGCAGGTTTGAAGAACCTGAGGAAATTCCAGATTAGGGCTTGATTCTAGAGGGAGGGCATCATCCTCAGTAATATGAAAAGAGGGCACACTTACTGGTCACTCTCATTTGTCAAGATAAAAAAAGGTCTGTTTTTGTGACAACTTTTCCTGGAAGTCTATCGTCAGTGTTGTCACATAGCTCTATTTGCTTTGGCTCACACTCTTGCCCACCAAGATCAGTGAAGAGATTAAAATTACAACCCAGTTCTCCATCACTCTTAGGAATATTAAAGGGACACAAAGCTACACTAGCGACCATGACATGGAGGCAAAATGGCAGCACCACGGAGAGACTGCACGTTGAGACTAGAAACCCCCAATCTGACCTGTTTCTGAACCACCTTTCTCCTTTTCTTCTAGACCACTTAGGCCTCCGCAGATGTGCTTACCCTGCCAGTCCTCCAAAGATGTCCTTGACATAGGAGTAGTCACCTCCAGATTTGGGGATGGTGACCCCCAGCTCAGCATAGCAGAGAGCTCCCACGGCTGTGATGATGCCTGTCACAATCCAGACAATGAGTGCGAGGCCCACAGAGCCCGCATTCTCCAGCACACCCTTGGGTGAGACAAAGATTCCAGAGCCAATGATGTTCCCTGTAGGAAGCACCAGGAAAACGAAGTGAGACAGTGAGGTCAAGACATGGCAGGATTGGCCTTTGCAGGGTGGTCACATCTCTGATCCAATTCTAAATTGCCTATGAGATAAGTAAATGATCTTCAGAAAATGTGTCTAGCAATAATCCCTAGTAGGGATACCTCTGAGCAGAGAACTGACATACATTGGCCAGGAACTTGGTTAAAGTACTTTACGTGCTTCATTTAATTCTCCAAACAACACTCTGGAGTCAATATAACGTTTATTATATTTTACAGAGGAGGAAACTGAGTCTTAGAGATACCAAGAGAGTTGTCTAAATCTACACAGTAGTAAATGATTAAGCAAATACTGAATCTCAGGATACTGTAACTGGGCTACACATGGTCCACCCAAGGTGACAAGGGTCTAAGATTGGCAGATAATGTCAGGACTGGAAAAGTGGGCTGCTCTCAGAGACCATCTGTCAACTAGAAAGCTTAAAAAAGGAGCCAAAGGGCAAAATCTTTTGGACACCCCACGACTAGAGGTTTTCAAAACCTATGAGTATGGACAGCACTCCTGGAAGCTTGGCTTCTACCCCAAACACAACAGCCCCACCCTTAGTGCAGAACATGAAATAACCCTATAAAAACATTCCCAGTAGTCTGGAAATGGTTTGTAGGAGTACAATATGCAAAGCCTCAGCACTACATTCTTCCAAAGGTCATTCCCCTCCATTGTTTCATTTGCCCCTCACAACAACCTTTCAGAATCCAGGAAAAGGAGGAAGGGCAGACATTTCTCTCTATTTTACAAACCAAGAGACTAAGACACAGTGGGGTTAAGTGGCTTCCTCCAAATTCCATAGTTACTGATGGGTAAAATTGGATCTTGAAGTCAGTCTCCTGATGTTTAATCCAATGCTCTTTCCACTAATCCACTTCTTCTATACACACTGGGCTGGTTTTCCCTGAGAGATAAGGCCAGCAGCAAGTACAGAATGAGGACTCCTGGGCTGGGTTGAGCAGGGGAGGAGGAGGAGTGTGGGGCAGTGCCTGACATGCTTCTTCCCAAGTTTTCCTTTGTCCAATTCTTATGATTAAAATGATTAGAGGGGGTAATAGGGTCCAAGCCCTGTTCAGCTGCATCACCAAATGCCTAAGGGAAGAAGCAAGACTAAATGAATCCAGGTGGAAATGCAGGGCTGAAGTATCATGAGGCACGGTGGGCTTGACAGTGTTCTGGAGACATCTTCAATTCCCAACATCTCTCTTTCATGGTTTGGAGAGTGTAAAAAGTCCTATGCTTAGCCAGGTGTGGTGGTGCACACCTGTAATTTCAGGGGCTCAGGAGCTGAGGCAGGGGGATCACAAATTCAAAGCCAGCCTTAGAAAGGTAGCAGACTCCTAAGCAACTTAGCAAGAACCTGTCTCAAAATAAAAAATAAAAAAGGGTTGGGGACGTGGCTCAGTGGTTAAGTGCCCCTGATTCAATCCCCTGTACCAAAAAACAAACAAAAACCAAAAATCAGTTTTATGCTTGACTTTTCTGATCTCAACCATAACTAAACCTCAATTCATTCCTGATACTTTCACTTGTTTTTTTTTTTTGGCGGTGCTGGGGATTGAACTCAGGGCAAGGCAAACCCCACCAACTGAGTTACATATCCCTAGCCCTTCTGATAATTTCACTTGTAAACCAAAATTCAATTTACTTCTTTATTTACTTACTGACTTACTTATTGCAGTGGCGAGAGTGAACCCAGGGTCTCTAGGAAAGTGCTCTACCACATAGTTACATTCCCTTCCCCAAAACCCAATTTTAATCCAGGGTCAGGCATCCAGTTGTTGCACTTAAAAGGGAAGAGAAGAGAATATTCACGTTCTAAAAGCATAATGTTCTATTCCTCTGGGATGCAGAATATGCTGTCCATTTCCAAACTAAAAAATTGTCACGAGATGTATAGTAAGAATGCAGAACAGGTCCAGAGGACTTAAAAACAGTGACAACCAGAGAGACTGAGATATAGAATCAGCATAGGGCCACAGCTGGAAACAGATGAAATGGAAGCACATTTCTTGTCTCAAACATGTGTACGTTCTTTCGGTGCTAACAGTCTATCCCAAGAGAACAGAGCTACTTGTAGAACGTAACTAAAAGAAGAAACAATCCCCCGTCATCAAATCTGTGATACAAATATTAGGCAAAAAGTGAATAGATAAAAGATATCCTGAGTAGCACAAGTTTGTTTTTGTTTGTTTGTTTTGGTACTGGGGATTTAACCCAGGGGCACTTTATCACAGATATATCCCCAGCCCTTTTCATGTTTTATTTTGAAACAAGGCCTTGTTAAGTTGCTTAGGGCCTCACCAAGTTGCTGAGGTTGGCCTCAAACATGTGGTCTTCCTGCCTAAGCTTCCCAAGTTCTTGGGATTGCAGATGTGTGCAACAGTGCCCAGCCCAGAAGTTCTTTCTTTTTTATATTTTTGGTACTGGGATTGAACTCAGGTGCCCTCGATCACTGAGCCACATCCCCAGCCCTGTTTTATATTTTATTTAGAGACAGGGTCTCACTGACTCGCTTAGCACCTTGCTTTTGTGAGGCTGGCTTTGAACTCACAATCCTCCTGCCTCAGCCTCCCAAGCCACTGATATTACAGGTACATGTCACCATGCCTGGCCACAAGTGTTTTTTTTCCCCCCTCCATTTTTTTTATCCGTGCATTAAAGTTGTACATAATGGTGGGGTTCGTTGTTACATATTTGTATATGCACATGTGGCACAATTCTTAAAAGATTTTTTTTCCTTATATGTTTATGTAAAGTTCAGTGATAGGAATGAGAGGACATCTTTCCATCCTCTTCTCTGCTCAACCAGTCCCCACATGTGCTCGGCATGATGTGTTGGCTTAGTGTCCCAGGACTCAGGACATGTTCATCCCGTAACTCCTCACCTGCCAAAACTAAATTCACAGCTGTTCTCTGGAAGACATCAGTGCTGGGAAATGAAAGAACTAGGGACAGAGTTCCTAATAAGAATAGTAAATTCCTAGCCTACCAGGAAGTTATCAAAAGAGTGATCTACAGAGCATTTCAAAGTCAGCCAAGAAGAGAGCAATAGACCTAGGGTTATAAAACCAGTTCAAGGGGTTAGAAAAACAATCAATAGCAGGAGAAAAACAAGGTTTGACTTTGGTCTTTAAGATACTGAAAAAGGAGGAGGGAATAGCTAGGCTGTTTCTTAGAGCTGGGAACGGTTCTGAGGGGGAATGTGAGGGTGGGTGTTATTTGAAAGATCTGACCTTCTTAGGAATGAAGAGTCAATGTTCCACTAAGGGTTCTTGGAAAACAAACATGGCAATAGAGATCAGTAAATCAGATTCAGTGAGTCTCTGCTGTTGCTGTGACATTTCCAGAGTGTGTGTGCTCTCTTTCTCTTTCTAGGTCACAGGAGCCACTGGAAGATGGGATGCGAAAGACTAGAAGCCACTGGAGGGGTCTGGCCCACTTCCTGCTTCCACTTGTTCTTGGAGGCTCTGTGACACTTTCCAAGGAGCTGCCATGATTGGGAAGGTCTTAGTAGATTGGCATTGGGACCTGAGTAATTTTATAAAAAGTGCCCCCCATCTTAATTTTGGCAAAACTAAAATTACAAAGAAGAGCTCTGCTAGCTTGAACTGAGTGCTCAGGAGCAGGAAGGAATGCTTCTCTGATTCTAGGAAGAAGCAACCTAAAAAAAAACATAACCTGGGGCTGGGTTGTGGCTCAGTGGTAGAGCGCACGCCTAGCACCTGCGGGGCCCTGGGTTTGATCCTCAGCACCACATAAATAAAATAAAGATATTGTGTCCGACTACAACTCAAAAATAAATATTAAAAATTAAAAAAAAAAACATAACCTGAGAACATTTCTTCCACCTTAGTTGCTTCTGGAACTTGTGCAGGGGAGGATTGTTGCTTACAACAGAGCAATGCTCTGGACTGGCAGATTTTACATTGCATGCTCAAAAGCAACGTATACAACATACAATCTTTGGTATAATTATTTGATTAATATTTCTCTCTTCCACGGTACTGTAAGCTGCAATAGCAGGAACTGTGTTTCTTTCCCTCATCTATGAAGTGTCCCCTAGTAGACAGACACTCCATAAATGTTTACTGAATAAATAATGTCTGACATCATTTACTGCATTTTTATTTGGAACTTCCAAATCCCGTAACAATGTTGAGTGTGTATTGTACATAGGCAAACAAGTAAATCAACCTACTTATTTCAGTGCTGAGTAAACTAGACTGGCTATTATTATCAACTCCAATTCATAGGGAAGAAAGCAGGGCAATTATAATATTCCCATTTTCCAAATAAAGAAAATGAAGGAGAGGCATTATTATTCCTATTTTATGGATAAAGAAACTGAGATTCAGAGAGGTAGTTACTTGCCTAAATCACAGGGTAAGGTAGTAGTAGCTAGACTGGAACCTAAATCTTCTGCCACAATCTCAAGCATTTCACTTCCCATAGATACTGGAGTAACTTCATGCCCCACTCCACACGGGCAAGGGGAATAGTTTACACACAGCACTTATTAAAGAATAAGAACATATTGCTGGGTTCAGTGGTACACACCTGAAATCCCAGCTACGCTGGAGGCTGAGGAAGGAGGATCACAAGTTTGAGGCTAGCCTCAGCAGCTTAGCGAAATCCGTCTCAAAAAAAAGGACAGGGGATGTAACTCAGTGGTAGAACACCCCTGGGTTTGATCCCCAGTATCCCCCTGCCCACCAAAAAAGAATTGGAACAGATATCTGATTCCTTCCTTCTATCTCAATGGTGATTTACAAAACATTCATGTCCACTACATTACTTGAGTCTGATAACTACTTTCTTAGGTGGGCAGGGCAAGTAGCATCATCCCTATTTACCTTTGTGGGAACTGAGGCTCAGAGAGAAGAGACTTGATCAAAGTCACATACTGCAGAAGTAGCAAAGCCTGGAAGAGAGACCAAGTCCTTGGACT